GTTAATAATCTTACAACAAAAGATTTCACAAATCATTTGTCAAAGCTACATGTAATAATGAAGGCGTAATTAAAAGAAGCTCAAGAATGACAAAAGATCAATGTGGATGCCTATTGCAAGGAGCAACCATAATTCAATGTAGATAACAAGATATGATTATTTTGTTGTAATATTAAGACTACTTATCTTTATGATAAGTTGAACTATCATAGGCTTAGACCTTTTTTTATTTGTGAATAAGTCAATTATGTTATTTATTAATTGTATCTACCAAAATCTATGAAAATCTATCCTATATTCTATATATTTCTTTTTGAGCCATATAAGATAGTAAATATGTCAAGAAGAAGACAAATGCCATCTCTTCTTACAAAAATGGATAACAATCAAGAATTTGATGTAGAAGAAGTCTTAGATTCAAGGTGCTACAAAAATAGATTAAAATATCTTATTCATTGGCACAAATATGAGTTTAATGAATGCACATGGGAGCCAACAAAGAATCTTCCAAATGCAGCAAAGAAAATTAAGACTTTTCATCGACAATCTATCAAAATCAAGTTAAAAATAATAAATTCTATAAAAGATGATAATTGCTCTTCATACAACTCGTTCCTAGAAGGAGAAGATAATATTACAAACATACATATTTATTCCAATAATTTCTTATATAACTATGTAGATATAAAATAAAATAAAAAATTCATAATATCGTCTAATAGAGCTTCCCAAAAGCTTCATAGATGCAATTTTGACTTTGCACTTCTTTGTAGTTGATTAGTAGGTTAGAAACTTGATCAATAAGTTAATCATGTGTGACACATATTCATAACTTATAGAATAAGCTAACTATGTAGCATACATATACAAAACTTGCCTTGCAAGCTATGATATGTATCTTACGAAGTCAACTTGTATTGGAGGTCCTATAGAACATTGCCACATAACTTTTAGTTAGATAGTATATATGGAGGCTAGAGTGAAGCCTCCTACACTCATGTCAATGTCTTTTTAGTTCTTAGTCTTATTTCAAGACTTTCTAGTCCTTTTGTTTTTGGCAACAATGATTCTAGTTCAATATATTACCATCTTTGAATGACACAAGAGTGTAGAGATTTTTCTTTTCTTTTTCTTTTTTTTTTTTTTTTTTTTGAGATTCATGTCCTTGACAAGAGGACAAAGATGGAAATGGATGGAAGTAATCATTTTGGAGCAAGGGGGTGTGAAAAAATTGGGGGAAAAAAGAAGAAGAAAAGATCCCTTCTACATGTGCTAAAAATAAAATAAAATAAACAATAAATAATAATAATAATAAATATAAATAAAAAACAAGGTTATACAATACACTTGACTTCAGCCCATTGCAATAACAGGCACTAAGGGGAGTTCGAAGGACGAGCGATGCCAGCTCAGCAACCGAGTGCCAGCCTGGACAGAGTGACGTGTAAAGTGGCTGAGCTGGACCAAAAGGAGGAAGACCACAAGCCTCCTTTCTGACTCTCTGCAAAAGACAGCAGCGCGACAGCCACACGGAAAAGGTAAAGGAGAGGAGGAAGGATCAGGGAAGGCGGGAAAGGGAATTGGAAGGAAAGGCAAAAAGTGAAAGGAAGGGAGGGCAGGGGGGTCGGTTGCTTGGGATGCTGTTGTCAGAAGCCTGAACCTCCTTCCGTCAGTCCGTCCGTCCGTACGTCTATCCTTCCATCCGTCCATTTGTCCTTGTGTTCCGTCCATTCGTCCTTTTCGTCCGTCCATGAAATGCTACCTGCCCCTGTACTGCCCTCCCACCTTCCAGTTGGCCAGTACATGTGCTTTATCCGATGTCGTCATCCCCATCCATAATGTCCTCCTTCAGGTGTGAACATGCCAAAGGAAAACGTTTATCTTTTACTTTTACTTTTTTTAAAATCCATTTTCGATATTTCAATTGGCCTTCTAAATACATGAGTTGAGCAATATTTGGGGTGGGTATGGGTTCTATTTTTTTATACGGAAAAAAACATGGATTTCTTCTGAAGAGATTCATCCAACGGATGTCATCTTGGGTTTTCATCCATTTGTTTGTTTTTTTTTGTTTTTTTTTTTTTTAATATTAATTGAAGGCTTTGAACACATTTTTATATGTTTTTGGTGGGAATTGTGTCAATAGGCATTGTCCAATGAACATGTTTGACATGTGTTGATAGTTAAGTGTTAAGTGGCATTTATTCTTCAATTTAGTTTCAAAGCACAAACACACCTTATTTTAATATTTATTAAATATTGTTTCAAAAATTAATTTGTAGTTATGTTTTGGTTTGCATTGTGTGATGACACAGTTGTTTTAAAATTTAAATATATTGATATTTATTGGTATATATATATATATATATATATATATATATACATATATTATTATTATAGTGTGTATCATTTGAAAATGATTCATAGGAAACATTACCTTTTACACATGAATATATACACACAAAAAAATAAAATGCAATTATAGCACTAATTATTTTTTATTTCTTTGCATTGCTCAAGATGCATGTGGAAGTAAATAAATAAATGAGATTATTTCAGTTAATAGCATACAAATTGGATATATTTTGAACCACATAAAATTATAAAACAAAGATTGCTTGTATAATCTACACTATTTCTTATTTGTTATCCCATCATCATCCTTACTACTTTATTCTTGTAATCTGTTCAATAGTATATTTGAATTACAAATAATGATAATTTACACAAGAAAGAAAATACACAGTTTTTACTGTTAGCAACATAATGTGATGAACATTCCTATAAATCAATTGTTATAATGGCTAGCAATTCTAATATGTCAAGGAATTTTGTACAATATTCATGTTTACGGTGACTGTTTCATGTGTGTGTGTGGATATATATGTATGTATATATATATATATATATATATATATATAATTGTATTTAAGTATTGACTTTAATATTATTGATTGGTTGTTACAAAACTTCTAAAAATAATATTATATTTAAATATACAGAAAAAGATCATTAACATTATATAATTTGCAAAAGAACAGTGTATGCAATAGTGTAATTCTACACTTGCTTAAAGATTGTTAGAACCACAACATCCTACTTAAAGTATATTCCTACACATCGTAAAAGATGATTAGAGCCACAACAACATCCCATGTAAGAATATAATCTCACACACACTGGAAAAGAATTAAAACCGCAATAACATACTGCACAGTAATAAATCCTACACTCTCTAAAAGATGATTACATTAGCATCAACAACAAAAAAACAAAAACAAAAACAAACAAAAAAAAAACAAAAAACAAAAAACAAAAACAAACCAGACTTATACTAAGGGATTAAATTAAATTATATTAAATTAATAACTAGTACATCTACCTCAAAAATAAAGTAGATGTGCTTGTAACATTTAATAACCCATGCAGCATGTTTAACATCATACAGGCCAAATAATGAAAACAAATTAATGAAGAAATTTATAAGGAAAAGACATCGAAACTTAACAGAAGAAGCGGGGCCATGAACCTCACCGACAAACTTTTTGGCTCCACGAATACATGCAAACCATTTGCCGACTACCTGAGTCTTGTGCTTAGATCGCTCTCATCCCCATGGCCGCAATGCTCTGCCTCATTGCTTCCGATTGCAGCCAACCCATAATACCCAATTCTAGAATGCGACAGATATCGGTTCTGCAGCACTGAGTGACTGCACTGCAATCTACGACACAAAAGTGTCACATTTGCTGCAACTCGGCGCAATTGGAAGGGAACTGGCTGCCACCATGCATGCTTCGCAAGATGCGGAGTTCGGTGGTGTGTTCTTTGTGCTCGTGGACACCACGCTCATGAGCATCTATCTCTTCAAATTTTGGAACTCGAATTGAGGTGTGCTGATCGAGCAGTTAGTTGCTAATTTCTGAAGTTGGAGAAGACCGTGCTTTCGCTTCGAGATTCATGAGTAATAGCGTCTATTTGTATTGTTAGTGGGGTGCGAAGTATGCGATGGGAGAATCACCGAAATCGGGAGGATCCGCAACAACAGTGTTGGAAGGAATTGGTTTAAAGCGTCGGACACAACAAAGCCGATATCCGGGGTGTAATGTCCATGGTTTTAGCGACTGCACAACATAGCCAGTTGTCTAAATACATCTGATTAATATGTATACTCGGTGCTTCAAACTTTCTAAATACCGTCACTTCGTGTGCATTATCTTCGTGCTCAAATCAGCTAGAAATTTTCAGTGATGGCGATGTTATCTGAGTATTTAAGTCATTCTCACATTCCTAGACACACCTATTTGCCAGTTGGGTGGGTCCCGTATCTTTACCAGCGTTCCATCAACTGATCCATTTGGTTATTCCTCCCTAAATATGCTCATGAGCATTGTGAACGAATTTGAAGACGCATATTAACACCTGCAGATTGATTATAAGAGAGGAGATCTCTGATGGGGTAGTTCGACCATAAACTCCATATTCAGACACAAGTCACTACAAACTGTGGTTCTGAGCTCGACGGTTGGTAATCAACAGTGCGAAACGCCCAGCTCAGATGCCAAGTATTCAGACAACCAGCAAAACAGCAAAGAACTGATACCTTCTACAAGGGAGATTCAGCATCGCAAATAGGTCTTTCAATTCCCACACAATCCAGTCTACAACACAGGACATACCAAAAGACAATTGTGAAGACCAACATGTAAGACTTCAAAGCATCTATAAATTGGGTAAGAATTTTGCACGCTAACTAAAATATAACTTATCCTACCATCCCAAAATATCTATCACAATAAATGGTATTGACATCCAGACATCAGCTAATAACAACGTACTAAACTCACGTTGAAAGTCCCACAGAAAACTGTATCTTTCAATCCAAAGTAAGCAAATAACGAATTCTATTAACAAAGCACTCAAAGATCAATCCCACAACCAACAAAACTCCAGATGCACATTCATGAGAAACAAAAAACCAACCCACAGCACAAGAAATATAGAAACAAACAAAAAAAATCGCAAACTGCTAGAAAAAGCCAGTTCGACGTAATTCTCCAAAGCAACTTGGAAAACGTTCACACTTGTATACTCTCCACCACCGGACACATACTTCACCGCCCTTCGGGTTCACGGGTAATCCCCGTCTCCACCCCACCCTCTTCTCTCCTCTCTTCTCTTCTCTTCTCTTCTCATCTCATCTCCAACCATCTCCACGTTCATCGCCCGCGTCCCTCTCCCTCCTTTCCTCTCTAATTTACACCATCTCTGCTCCGCTCTGCTCTTTCTAGCCTTTGGCGCACAATCCAATGTAGCTATTTACAACAAAAGAATTAGTCTACACCCTCCTCGAATCCCACTCCTACTTCTTCTTCCTGCCCCCAACCCCCGCCTTCACCTCTCCCGCTTTCCCCTCCTCCTCCTACACCGCACCTACCCCTTTACCATCTCTGCCGCTTCACACCACGCTGATCGCGTTCACTCCTTGTTGTATGCTGCTCCCATCGAACGACGTGTTCACGTGGAACGCTGATGAATGCCTCGACGGCGCCTCCAACAGCTTTGCCGTCAACTGAGATGGCTCCGGCGGTGACAGCCCCAGCCTCAGCTGCGCTATGTCCCGACCATCCTCCTCCATCTTCGTCGCTGCGCTGCTCGCACCGCCCACCTTCGCCGTCGGTCTCACGATCGCCGGGTTCGCTCCGTATGACCCCCCTCCTCTGCTGCTCGATCCCTGCTGTGCCTGCCCCTGACCCGGCGCCTGCGCCGTCGACACCGAACCCACCCCTCCTCCACCCGACGACGTGAACGAGTACGGGATCCTTCCTGCTCCCGCTGACCCTCCCAGCGACAGACCCGCCCCTGCTGCTACCGCCACGCCCGCACCCCCTCTCTCCATTCCACTCCTCTCCATGCCGTAGCTCATCCCCGCCCCCTCCATTCCACTCCTCGCCAAATGCTCCACCTTGTACCCCATCCCCACCACCTCCGTCACCCCATCCGCGCCCATTCCCATCGCGTTTCCCACCGACATCAACGGTAACGCCATCGGAGGACTCATGTGCTTCGGCACCGCGAATCCTCCCACCGATACTCCGTATCCCGCCACCGAACTTGGCTCGTACAACACCCCCGACGGGTACATGCGGTTCTGCCCCAAGCTCAACTGGTGCAGTGGGTTCGTCTGCTCCTCGTCTCCCATGCATGTCGACTCTTCCGCAATCGAAGGAACGCCCTGCCATCGACCACAACCCTCCCCATCTCAGATCACATGTCCCACCTCCCACAACCATCCCATTCCATTCTCTACTGCACTTGCATCGCCTCTACCGTTGCACTGTGCCCCCCATCCTCCACTCAACACCCTCCGCCCACCTACCCAACGTCCCTAATCATATCCCACCCGACTTCTACTCGCATCCCCACGGACTGCGACCATCCTATCATCACCACGACACCGCCCCCCTCATTCGCCGCACGAACACACACACTCACACTCACACAATTGTATACACTTACCGACGTCGATACGATGTCGAAGAGGCTCGATCGCCTCTTCCGCTTGTTCATGTTGCTTTGTCGGATGAAGTACTTCTGGGCGTGACTAGCAACCTGTGTGGGCGTCCTGGTTGTCACGAAATTCCTCGAGATACCTCTCCAGTCACCTTTTCCGAGCTTTTGCAATCCCAGCAAGAACAAGCGATGCTCGTCTTCTGTCCACGGTACTCCTGCAACAGGGACAAACTATTTGTTATGAGCAACCGACTTTCAGAATGACTTGAGTGGATGAAACGCAACCAAATCAGCGCTTGGGTATGGAACAGTCAAAACAGTAATACCGAACTGATAACAATATTTGCAGTTTAGCAACGCATTCGAAACGGATGTGGATTTCATTGAATGCGAATCTACCGGACTACGACATTCTTTTGAAAGGCATTTTTCCTCACTACAGAAAAGTTTTCACGATAATTTAACACTACACACTTGGACAATCCACCTCATCATTTGTGAGTTTGGTTTGAAGTTTAGAGTAAACAGATCATTGATATGCATATCTGAAAAATCTCTGGAATTTGCAAGGTGGCTATTGAATTCTATTTTGAGGGTACTAAATGTAAAACAAGAGTATCTTCCTCTGGAATTCCTACCATAACATCATACTGAAAAGCAATTGAAAACCCAACCATGAACATTATGACTTGCTACTTACTAATCTCCACAGAAACACTAACAAAGACGTTCCAAAACTTGCATCTCAGATCATTGCCCATATGTGTAATCTATGAAACATGAAATGTCATCGCCAACAAAACCTAAAAGCTCACTGCTCTGAAATTTCCCATCCCATGGAACAACTAAGAAAACTGTTTCATTCGTCCAAACTTTCACAAAAATTTGGGTAAATGATCTGAGTTCAATTTTACAACTTAGATTTGGTATTTAAGCACGCTTCAGCTCACAATTCAAGCTACCCAAACAGATCCCATCTCCATAATACCAAACCTATTTCTAACATACAATACAAGCAATGTAGTTAAACGTCGGAAAGCCAATTTCCGTAATAGAGAAACTAAACGTTAAACATTAAGGTATTAAATAACTACATGTTGCTCTCCAGGTGTTGAAAACGACCAATTGAGCACCAAAAGCGTACCTTTCTTGCGCTCTCGAGCATTGTTCGACGTCTGCACCAGGCCATCCGACACATACCCGTCGGGAGCCGCTCCAGACTCTGAGTGCTCAGATGGTGACGGGGAGTTGTGCGTGCTCGTGTAGTGGCTCAGATTATTCATACTCACGCTCTTCCGCATGTTCATGCTGCTAATACCGTCCGTCAGCCGCACGCCAAACAGCCTCACCCCGCGGTCGGGACATGTCCGGCTGTTATGGCCATTCAGGCCGCAGTGCGAGCAGCGCCTGCTCATCTCGATATGTTCCAGGGCTGCCAGCTTGACCGCCTTGGAACACTATATTCCGATAAAGAAAAACAAGGGGGGTGGGGTGTGGTCCGAAACAAACGAAGATTTGATAAGATGACCCCACAAATTCCCCTACACTTGGCAAATGCGAGAGCCCGATAAGGAGCAGTAAGAGTCAACAATGCAAATCAGCTCGAGTTTGTGCTTGGCAATGCAGATAGCTGCACAGGAAGGATTAGGTTCTACTCTTGCAAAGCAAATTCAGGTCGCATCTAACGTTGAATGCGAGTTCGTTTCAGGTGAATGCTCTGCTCAACGCCCCTTTACCGCCTGGAATGCCTAATCAGCTGGCTATTTCACGGCAGTCTACGAACAATTACGAGAGCAGCGCCCAACAATACCACAGATCGACTCAAGCACGACACCTGCTCGAGCGAAACTCCACCCAATCTACTCTGGATGTGGATTATGACTATCCGCTACCAATAAATTCCGAGCTGTCGGACGAAGGAGACACCGAAACCTACCACGTCAAAAAGACAAAGGTCACGGCACTTGGCAGAATCGCCTGCTCTCCAACCTCACCTGGCTCTGTATCTCTGTATACCACCAATTTAACGATGCACCTTCGCCGGCCCTTTTGAGGAGGCTTACAATGAGGAGCAAAACAATGCATGAACTTACTGAACCGCACACCGAACCGCCCCTCGGCACCGGGTTCAACCACAACCCACCACACACGGACTTCCCGCACGGAATCTCAAACTACAGCGAGTGCCACTTCCGTTTCGCCAACTCTCAGCCCATCTAGTGGTCCCCCGTCGCCCCGACCCTCAGTCTGCCCTCTCATTCCACGGCGCTCTCTAAAAATAGGATGCTCCTACTGAGTCCTTCCCTGCCTCCACCAGCATCCTGCCACCACCACTCGGGGCGTGGCTTCGAAATCGGGATTTCAAACCTCCTCTCGGCCGATTTCTCTGCGAACTAGCCCCGACCCAATGCGCAGTAGCCCTTTCCACAGCGTGGTTCAGCACTACACCAACCCAGCAAAAACAATTACAATTTTAACAATTTAAAAAATAAAAAAATAAATAAAGCTTCGGAGAGCGCGACTACACAAGCTGGCGATGCGGACTTTTGACTTTCACGCACGATTTGCACACTGACGATGAGTAATCCGGACTCTCTCCCCCTCAATACCGCGAGCAATTTCCCCGCCGATCTTACCACCCCACCCACCTCAGCCAACCCCCCGCGAGCTTCTCTGTGCATCCATATTGGCATGTTTCATTCATATATTTTGTCTCATCGTTTGTTTTTGGATATGACGGCATGCATGTGGTTGGACAGGACGAAGCATCGGTGATTCTTAAGGCCGCGTGTGCCTTCACGGGTTTGGGTCCTCGCGGTGAGTCTGCTGGAAGTGACCTGCGCAGTACCAGTGGAGACCGGTCATGGGTTCCAAACGAAAACTTTCCATGACCGTGGCGTGGATGCCCATCACCCAAGTCCATGTTAACACAAACATTATTTTTAGCCTTTGTTTTAGGGTTTATAGGTATTGTTTTCTTCTCTTTTTTTGCCTTTTTGGTGGCCTATCACGTCCCATGCACATGGCCAACATGTCAACGCATGAATGGTTCCATATTGTGCATGAGTTTTTCTTTGCAATTTATGAAAAATTAATAAAATAATAAATTTGGGCCTACTTAGTGAATGATGTAGTTGATGCTCTATTGCCACAGTCCTATTTGGCTCACACAAAGGGTTTTATATGATTGCGGTTGCATCCATTTTTCCTATGGTCCTTTCATTTAGGATCCAGGTGGCCCATACCTAAATTTTCAAAAAAAAACTCAAGTTATGATTATTATAATTATTGTTGATGTTGTTGTCTTGGCCTTTGTCTCTCTCTAGTTCATCCTCAATAAAGTTATGATAAATGAATTGATTTTGAATGAACAGTCTTCCCCTTCTCTATGGTGGCATAAACAAATAAATAATGAATAAATAGTCTATGCTAGACAATTATTTGCTGAGCAGACTACACAACCTTAAACTTCATATTTCTCTAGTGTCCCTTCAAAGACCAGAATTCTTATAACATCCAATTATTTAAAATACTTTGGATCGTATCTGCTTTGACCTACAAAAGATATGTCATCTTTAAAACACCAATCACAAAGACTTGCAACAAGTTAAATGAAGTCCTTGAATTGATAGAAGGAGACATGGAAAATAAGCAAGAATTGCACTCTAAACATTATTTTTCTTAAATCAAATTTGGATTTTTGGAACCCCATATAAATTTGGAACAAGAATTTCCTCACATTTTTAACATTATAAAGATACTAAGATATTTGCTTCCAAACCCATCAAACCCACCCACAATTCAAACCTCCGCATGCAAATTATATCCACAGGAAGATTCAGATATGGTGGAGTCCACGACCAAAAATAGTTTATTCGATCTTGTAAAGAAAGCATTTTTAGGGTTTCTTCTTTTGGGTTTTTTCAATCTTAAAAAGATATGTCATCGAAATTGGATGTGTAGTACCTTACAAGTGGTGAGACGCTTGGATGACTTTGTGAATTTCATTTTTAAAGAACAATAATTTGCACTTTATAGATAAATATAGTAATATATGGATCTCGTTTTTATATGGCCAATGTAGCATTAAATGCTGATTCAGGAGCAGCAATGGTGAGCAGTTAAGCTAGTGGATTTGGAAATCATTGTACAGTTGGTATTAGTATATCTCTGGAATCATTATGATCGTTATTTATCATGCCAATTAAAAAAATTAAAAGTATAATTCTCTGTGTTCAGCTTGAAATATTTCTTAGCAAATGATGGAATGTGGGTGTTTGCGGATTTGATCATTAAAATGTATATTTTACTATCACACAGATGCTGGTAAAATGTCCAGTCATATCATTTATTTATTTTAAGGGTTTAGGGTTTAAGATTTATCATTTATTTTAGCATACAAATACCCATATTTCAACATAATTCTCAAAATCCATGTAATTTTTAACACTTTTACTTGAGTTTTAATACTATATACATTGTAGGCTACTGCAATAATTGTCAACTGGTATTTTAATGATAACTTTAATATTGAAAATAAAATTATTAAAAAATATATAAACTGCAATTACACAAATCTTTTAAATCTGATCTGAGGTTTATTTTCAAATTTTATGGATATAATAATTTTTATTTTCCTGTTTTTATTTTTTTCAAATTGATTATACTATGGAAAGAGAAATAATTATCAAGCATTTTATGTTCTCATTGAAGCGACAAAACATTAACATACCATGATGCACTAGTTAAGTTTTATAATTGTCTTAGTATTAGTAGTAGAATATAATCCAACACATAGCAAGGGGCTTCTCAAATCTAGAAGTCTGCTTTTGTAATGCTATGGTGAAGGAAATCCCTTCTTTAGAGGCCTTAGTTCTTGACCAAAATTTTAATTTAATTTTAAAAAAATCCCAAAAAAACCCAAAAACAAAAGAAAATCAAGTAGTCCAAACATTTCAAGATAATTAAAAACATTTTCATGTGGCTGCTTAAATAAAGAAATAATGAAGAATACATTTAAATAATTCAATTGCTTAAATTCCGTCGTAGCTCAAAAGTATATTTATAAGTAAAATGTTGATTTAGATACACATTTGAAGAAATATAATAAGTATACAGCATGATTATATTCTCTTTTTATTGCAGGCACACACGACCAACCACTCTTACAAAAGCCCGTCTAAAGGACTCCCAAGACCGTTGCTGACTCAGGAGAACAACACGCCGAGATGCCTAGTAGGCATAAAGCAAGTGGCCCCACCCCCCTGAAGGCCAATGCCACGTGAGACCTGCACATGACAGACGGGGTCCAGCGTGGCCAGAGCTAATGACACAACGACATGTCCCCCTGGCGGGAATCCCACGTCAAGCGCACGTGTCAGGCCGCTTACTTGTCACGCATGGAAGGGAACGAGGGGTGGATGGGACGAGCTGAGTTGGAATCGATCGGCCAATGGGTGACGAGCCCGCGTAGACATGCACCATCCAACGTCACGTTTCCTCCCTTGTTTTTATGATATTGTTTCATCCATGAGCATCCTGGTCGTATCATTCATCCACTTGTGAGTGGTCAATAGTTGGATTCATCAATTAATATCTTACGCTCAAGTGGACGGTCAGCGATGTTGCACTTGTCATAATATTATTCGTGGTATGATGTAAGCCTCCACCAGTCTGACGTACTTCCAAAGTGGGGCTGGGAGAAGGGCACGTGTCAAATTGCAGACAACGGGCTGCCGCTTTTCAACGAAAAGCTTCCATCAATTTTGGATGATCGGAGTTGCATGAGACTCGAAGTTCTCATCTTTACTTCCGTGGTTTAAGGGCTGGAAGTCATTACGCTTTTAGGCACCCGTGCCGGTATCTGCCTTAAATGTGGATGCACAGAGGCGCAGGGTGAACTTCAGTTATTCATCCGTTTGAGCGCGTTAGCGTTTTTCGGGACAGGCGTTGTTGCATTTGCAGGGCTTGTGGACGGCGATGGCGAGTTTAGAGCCACTGCAGGCTCTGCGAGTAATCGCAACAGAAGCTTCGGCTTTACGATGGCGCCTGGAAGTCAGTGTGAGAGTCGATGGAAACGTGCTCAGAATCATCTCTCCTCTGCTGGGAACGAGAAGATCGTGCCACCGACTTCGCGGTTGTGCGAGTAGAATGATGAAGCAGCCGGAAGCGACAATTCGTTTGAATTGAAGGCGTTGGATATTTGTCGATGTGACTGTGGGAAGCTGACAAAAGCAGGGGGGAGGGAGAAAAGAGATGCTGGGCTTTTGAAAATTTTGTGTAGAGGCCATGTGGGATGTGGGAGCACTTTTTTGTTGTTTTTCGCAGGGGATGCGTTTGTCTGGCATTTCCTGTCAGTGCGAGGAGCGGAGCGTGGATGGACGTCGTCGGATTGATGCTCACCACCTTTGCGATGCTATCTCGGCCGTCCCATGACGTTGCGTTGGTTTGTGGCTCTGTGAGAACCTGGAGTCCTTTCCGTTCCTCTCCTTCCTTTCCTTTCCGCCTCCAATCTTCTCCCTAGGATATATTCGAAGGCACCTTCCAACTTCCAGCCTAACCTCCACCTTACGTGTGCACCAGAGGAATACTTTCGCTCTACCAACCCCTCCTCCTCCCAACCCCTGCTTTCGTTGCGAGCTGGATCCCCATGTCCCCCTTTTCATAACCCTATTTCGCGCACTAGCGGGTTGTTCTACCTCAACGCCTGACTTAAGACCCTACATTTGCTCCCCCCCCCCCCCCCCCTTCTTTGTCGATAATGGAGTAAAGAATGAAGGAGCAAACCACGGCGATAGTCTTTCTCTATCTTCGGTGATACAACCCGTCCACGGCGCCTTTTACCGTATTTTCCAGGATTGTCGAGAGTAAGGTGGGCTAATTCTAGGGTTTGCAGCCAAGCTTAGCATGCGACTACCAAAATCTGCTCTCAACACAGCGTTTGATGATCCCTTTACTCGTTTCGCACATGTAGTGAGCGCCTCTCAGTAGGATCATTATCCATAACCTCACTCTATCTCTCAATTTCCTCATGTCGTTTGCATTTCGTTGCTCATCGGACTTGTGTGTCTAATTCCCACTCTTGCAGTTTAAACAATTCTCGTCTTTCTCGTGCATGCATCACTGCATGTATGTGGAGACATTGTCCAAAGACGGACCAACGGAAGACATTGGGTGGGCAGTGTTTAACTGGTTGCCTCATTAAGTGATTTCGCATGAAACTAATGCAAGAGTCAACCTGAATAAGTAAATGTGAAAAGAAATATACTGAAATAAATCTGCAGTGAGCACTGCCGTTTTGGTTTCAAGTTTTGAGAATATTGAAAATTCTATATTGAGAGCCATTGAAAAATGAATTCATTGGTCTCTTATGCTTCGGGAGATGTTTGTTGATTTACACAGATGTGGGATTAATACTGACTTTTACCTTTTATTCGGAAGAGTTGTATGGTTGATAAATGGAAGAAACCCATATTTAAGCAGACTGATAGAGGAGGAATTTTTACTGAAAATGAATGAATGTAAATTATGAAGGGGAAAAAGTTTAAGCAGAGTAAGAGTAAAGTTTGTTCTTATGTTGCACTGAAGTGTGAAAACAGGAATTGTAGAACTTTAAGGTAATGTTTTTTTCACATGAAAGTCAATCATGAAAAAACAAAATATTGGTTACCTTCATCTTTCCACATGATTTCTCTCAATTTTTATTTATTTTGGGTTGGACAAGATGAAATCTTTTACTGGCCACTCCAATTTGCCACTTTAGAAATAACAGTTCAAGGGAGAAAACAGTCGTTACATTCTCTTCAGCAACATCTCAAACCGTGGTTTTTTTTATTTTTTATTTTTATTTTTTATATATAAATAAAGTTTCCCTTGTAAGAACAGAAAGACAAACACACATGCAAACATGCAATTTTATTTTATTTATTATTATCATTTGTTTAACAAAATAAATCAAGCACTTCAAACATTTATTTTTATTTATCTTCATGTCCAAAGTTAGACCCACTCAAAGCTGCATAACAAATCATTTCAAAAGCATGGCCCAACACGTGAGGTCCCACAGTTCGGCAGAGTAAAAGTAACGAAGTCCATTGAGATCCCTCCCCACTGGCCTTACTATTTGCAAACAAGGCATGACAATGGGCTAGCATCATCCAAAAGCTACCACTGTACCTCTACGCCATTGGCCTACAACACAGTTTCCGCACTGTTTTCATATACTTAGAAGATGCTCATAGTTGACTCATAGCCTGCCAGTAATATCCAGAACTTCAGAAGCAGAAAATGGTGAAAAAGGACCCACAAAAGCAGAGGCAAAGACGGACTTTTTCCAGCTTCATCTCACAAAATACCAGTGAAGTAACGAAGTAGAGATTTGTACTTGCGGATCTTACTGAGCCTGGAATCATGGGATCGCGAAAACAAGGATAGATCAATAAGGTACTAATCCAAAGTTGTTGCGATCCCTGCAGTGGACCAGTGCCATCCACAAGTGAGTGTTGTAATGTTTTAGTTTTTAGTTTTTAATTTTTAATTTTTTCCATTTGGGGAAGACGATCTATTGTGCAGGAATAGTTCCAAGGAACTGACATGAGTTTTGTATGCACATAACTGCTCACAGTTGGATCTCCACTGTTGCTGAATCAACATGACGGGACTCGCCGTTTCAGAATGCGATTCCCATTCTGCTCACAGCCGTGGCTGCACGAAGGAACTGCAATGATGCACAACTTTGAGTGGAATCGCAGTAAACAATACAATGATGAAAAAGCAGTCATCTTTGGTACAACATCACGCTCAAATAATTGACCATACGACAGATAGACTGAAAAAAGGATCCACAAAATCCAGCAATGCTGACACGCCCCTTTCGCTGATCGTTGACTTTCCTTCCCCCAAACTGTACTCCAAAGATCCTCGGAACACATCCAAAAACATCCAATCAAGAGTGTTGTTCTCTATACTATACTACACTACTCTATGGAGCCGTGTACACGTTACTTTGAAAGTGCAACGCATTTCGCACCATCGTCACTGCACACAACCCAGACAGACAAAAAACAGTGGAACAAGGCCGTGGCTACAAGGTAAGAACCAAGGATGTCCACCATGCATGTTAACTTTTTGACTCTGAAACTTGTTGAAACAGAATTTGAGGACATCCGAATACAGATAACACACGACAAGGCAGTGTGCAAAAAGAGCTTAAGAAAAAAAACAGCATATTTCTCCAAAGCAACTTGGAAAACGTCCATAAACTTGCATACTCTACACCACCGGACACATACTTCACCGCCCTTCGGGTTCACGGGTAATCCCCGTCTCCACCCCACCCTCTTCTCTCCTCTCTTCTCTTCTCTTCTCTTCTCATCTCATCTCCAACCATCTCCACGTTCATCGCCCGCGTCCCTCTCCCTCCTTTCCTCTCTAATTTACACCATCTCTGCTCCGCTCTGCTCTTTCTAGCCTTTGGCGCACAATCCAATGTAGCTATTTACAACAAAAGAATTAGTCTACACCCTCCTCGAATCCCACTCCTACTTCTTCTTCCTGCCCCCAACCCCCGCCTTCACCTCTCCCGCTTTCCCCTCCTCCTCCTACACCGCACCTACCCCTTTACCATCTCTGCCGCTTCACACCACGCTGATCGCGTTCACTCCTTGTTGTATGCTGCTCCCATCGAACGACGTGTTCACGTGGAACGCTGATGAATGCCTCGACGGCGCCTCCAACAGCTTTGCCGTCAACTGAGATGGCTCCGGCGGTGACAGCCCCAGCCTCAGCTGCGCTATGTCCCGACCATCCTCCTCCATCTTCGTCGCTGCGCTGCTCGCACCGCCCACCTTCGCCGTCGGTCTCACGATCGCCGGGTTCGCTCCGTATGACCCCCCTCCTCTGCTGCTCGATCCCTGCTGTGCCTGCCCCTGACCCGGCGCCTGCGCCGTCGACACCGAACCCACCCCTCCTCCACCCGACGACGTGAACGAGTACGGGATCCTTCCTGCTCCCGCTGACCCTCCCAGCGACAGACCCGCCCCTGCTGCTACCGCCACGCCCGCACCCCCTCTCTCCATTCCACTCCTCTCCATGCCGTAGCTCATCCCCGCCCCCTCCATTCCACTCCTCGCCAAATGCTCCACCTTGTACCCCATCCCCACCACCTCCGTCACCCCATCCGCGCCCATTCCCATCGCGTTTCCCACCGACATCAACGGTAACGCCATCGGAGGACTCATGTGCTTCGGCACCGCGAATCCTCCCACCGATACTCCGTATCCCGCCACCGAACTTGGCTCGTACAACACCCCCGACGGGTACATGCGGTTCTGCCCCAAGCTCAACTGGTGCAGTGGGTTCGTCTGCTCCTCGTCTCCCATGCATGTCGACTCTTCCGCAATCGAAGGAACGCCCTGCCATCGACCACAACCCTCCCCATCTCAGATCACATGTCCCACCTCCCACAACCATCCCATTCCATTCTCTACTGCACTTGCATCGCCTCTACCGTTGCACTGTGCCCCCCATCCTCCACTCAACACCCTCCGCCCACCTACCCAACGTCCCTAATCATATCCCACCCGACTTCTACTCGCATCCCCACGGACTGCGACCATCCTATCATCACCACGACACCGCCCCCCTCATTCGCCGCACGAACACACACACTCACACTCACACAATTGTATACACTTACCGACGTCGATACGATGTCGAAGAGGCTCGATCGCCTCTTCCGCTTGTTCATGTTGCTTTGTCGGATGAAGTACTTCTGGGCGTGACTAGCAACCTGTGTGGGCGTCCTGGTTGTCACGAAATTCCTCGAGATACCTCTCCAGTCACCTTTTCCGAGCTTTTGCAATCCCAGCAAGAACAAGCGATGCTCGTCTTCTGTCCACGGCACTCCTGCAACAGCGTCAACCCACCCGTTAATTCAACATTTCTTGTCTTCAGTAGTTATTTGAAGCCAAGTAGCCAGACAACACTTTTATTCAAAAGTTATGACCTTGACATACGAATTTTGCGCATAGCAGCGGAAAAGTTTCTACATATTGAGTCAAAGGAATCAAGATTGAATGAACAGTGTTACAAACGCTGTTACGTTAGAACCCGTGTGACAAAGAAGCCCCATTTCTTATCTCAACCCACTCCAGTGGTCATCGGTTCTACATAAGTATGAAATCATGATGCAGACCCTCAACACGGCATACCAACAACCACCACATCTGCCATTGTTTACAGTTAGAATCTAACAAATTCAATTTTTGCATGGAGAAAGAGAAAATATGCACGAGCATACGGAAGATGTTGAGGTTAAGATACAATGAGAATCATTATGCTGAAGAATCCAAATTTAATGCATTCTGGACAGGAAACATAGAACTGAACAAGAATAGTGGTACTTGCAAACTATGAAGTCTAATTAAACACAAGGCTAGCACCTGTGTAGAATGTATCACAATTACAAACGAAATAAATAAATAAGTAAATAAATAAAAACCGCTTATTTGGAGGAACGGAAAGAGAAAGTTAAGGCACTACCATCTCAAAAAATTTGAACGATTTCACATTCTCTCTTCGGAATTTTAGGATTGACCATTTTCATACCGACAGAATGATTAGGGATGTTCCCGTGAGTCTGAACCCGCCTTTTCACTTGTGAACATTTTTGACCTAAATGAATTATTTTTCGAAATGATGCACATAGAAAGGCTGTACAGTTTCGACCCAAGTGAATTCAAATCTAGAACTCAACTGTATTATCTAATTAAATCATTCGTCAAAATATTGAAACTTATTCAATCGATAGAATATCGATCTCTGTTTTCAAATGCAGTGCATATAAAACCATTTTGCTATCACAACGCCAGTACAGGAAGAAGAAGGAAATGTAGCTCCTGGATGGGTTTGAAGTCTCAATGGGAATGCAATGTTTACCTTTTTTGCGCTCTCGGGCATTGTTTGACGTTTGCACGAGACCATCTGATACATATCCATCAGGAGCCGCTCCGGACTCTGAGTGCTCAGGAGGCGAAGGAGGGTTGTGCGCGCTCGTGTAGTGACTCAGATTATTCATACTCACACTTTTCCGCATGTTCATGCTGCTGACGCTGTCTGTCAGCCGCACTCCAAATAGACGCACCCCCCGGTCGGAGCACGTCCGGCTATTGTGGCCATTCAAGTTGCAGTGCGAGCACCGCCTGCTCATCTCGTGCTCCTCCAGGGCTGCCAGCTTGACGACCTTGGGATACTACCCTTCTAAGAGAGGGTAACACTTGACACGAGGGACGAAACCAGCGAAATTCAAAGCGCACACGTGAATCACTCGGAAACCTTCGAAATGAGAAGGTCCGATGTAGAGCAGAGAGAGGACAATACTGCGATGTTTCGAGCTCGTGGTTAGCGAAACTAGTAGCTCGGGAAGAAGGTTGCTGTACACGCTCGCGCATAAGCCCAGAGTCCAAACAAAGCTATTGTGTGCACAACAAGATTAAAATGTATGCCTCCTGCCTTGGGTGCGAAAACTAACCAGCACTTCACAGCAGCCCAAAATTTTAAAACAAGAGCGGTATAGGATCAGAAAGCGGCGCAGATCTACGTAGACTCGAGCCAACACAAACCAAACTCCACACACTGGAGAAAAAGATTCTCAAAGATTGAAATCAACGACCCTCGGAATACTACAGAAAGGAAGCAGGAGAATCCACGGCATAATATACCCCACCAACGCACCGTAAAACCCACCACGACACGATCACAACCCCTACAGAATCATGCGCGACCCAAACTTGCAGCGGAAACGCTAATTCCGCGACAAACCCTCAATTTCCAGCACAGAAGCAAAACCCACAACTTGATCGAACTCTCCCTTGTCACCGCAATGCTCAGTCCCGCCCTGAGCCTCCACGGAGTTGGTGCCGATCCCCCCTTCGACTCCACCGGCGCGCTCAAACCACCGGGTGGAGCTCCAGAAATCGACCCTTTGAAACCTAAATCCGACGCTTTTTCCCAGAATTCGCCTCGACCCAATGCGCATCACCACCCAATCCTTTTCCTGCGCCTTTGAACGGGAGCTTGTAACCCGTCTACAGCGAGCAAATCGGACAACGAGGCGGAGAGTGGGGGGGGGGGGTGGAAAATGCTTGATGCGACGACTCACACTTATGTTGCCTCCTGTTGCGTGGAACCACCGATCGCTGCTCATTCTTCATCCAACATTATTCGTCTAATTGGATGAAATGATTCGTTCAGTTGGATATTACAGCAACCATAAAATCAGAGGGTGAAGCATATTTTGGGGGTTGTGGCTTTGGTATCAGTCCCCACAATCGCCCACGTTACCAGCGGCATTTAGAAATATAGAAATAAATTTTAAATTTAAAAGAGCTGGAATTGGGCCATGGGGTTCTGGAAAAAGTAGGCCACGCTCCTTTGCTTACTTATCTTACTTTTTCGTTTTGAAAGGGTTTTGTAGGCTTTATATTTGACTCCCATTATTATGAGCCTCTCTCTCTCCCCCTAGCCCTAAATATGCGACCCATCAACTTTGAAAAATCGAATGTTGGTTCTCAATGTCACAGATTATGTAACATTTCAAAAGATGGAGCATTTTAAAATTTCAAATGTTACAGATCATTTAGCATAATAATTAAAATTTTCACAAAATACGTAATAGGTATTAAGAAGAGCACACACACAAAAAAAAATACAAATACAAAAAAAATATAAAAAAAGGCAGTATGCATGGCAAAATAAATAAATAAACAAACACATTGAGAATACAGTTCCAATCTTAAATTGGTGTTTATGAAGTAAAACACATATAAAGAAATAAACTTTCAGTTAATATGAATATATATATATATATATATATATTTATATATTCAAATAGAGATGATGAATTTCCGCTTGTTGATGTTTGAAGTGATAATAGATATGCTAAAGTAAACAACATCAAATCAGGAGATTTTTTAAAAGTAAAAACAGGTTGAGTTGTGCTAGTAAGTGACCAAAATAACATTTGGCCCTAAAATATATTTTAAAGATTATCACAAAAGCATATATGTATATATATGTGTCCCTTTTTTATATTAAAAAAACCTACTTTGAAGCATGTAAATGTCTTTTCAATGAGAACTATACATTTATGAAGGATCTTAAAAAACAAGCTTTACTCAAATTATTGAGGTTTTGGGTTGGAATAACAATAAAGAAGCATATGTTAATATAAATTCAATTAAATTGGTCAAGATTGTTGTTGTTTGGACTTTTTTAAAAGTGCAAAGTGCTTGTTCTTACATGCATAGATTCTGTTTGTACAATGAATACAAGTAGTTGTTACAAAACTAGATGTCCTTATGCAGAATTTTATCATATTTTTAGAAGTAGTTCGTAAGTTAAAAATAAATAAATATATATATTTATTTATTTATTTATTTATATCAAGGTATGATAAAATGTACGTGTTAAGTTTGAGAATAGAAGCAGTAATCAAATCATCCATAATTTTTCATTTGAAGAATAACATACCAATATTTTTGAACTACATTCAAAATATTGATTAATTGTTTCCAAGAAGTTGGAAAATAGTTTACTATATAAGAAAAATGCTGTAAATTTTTTCAAAAGATTAAAAGTAGAAATAATGAAATATTATAGTGAGTCAAATTTTATTTGATGAGACAAAACCAAACATAGAGACGCTGCAATTGATTTTATGAGTATTGACAATGCATCAGTTTAATCAGACCTATTATTTTATACCATTGTTATAATGAAATTTCCATTACAGTGAAAGAAATTATCTACATATTTATAAATATTGAACAAAGTTTTAATGAGAAACAATGAACTATTATGTACCTTCCATTCATTTGATTATAAAATACTAAAAACAAAGTTTTCTCGAAGTTGTATATAAATGAAACAATTGAACTTCCAAGTGGTCTACAACAAGAGGTCTATAAGGCCTTCATAAGTTTCTCAATTTTTAAAGTCTTAAAGATTTTTTTTTTCCAGGATCCCATTACATACTCTTAAAACAACTATTGAGATAATATTTGGTATTATCTAAGCATATGATCTCAAGGCACAACAAGAAATATTTGGACATGTCCTGCTGTTTTTCTAAAAATAGAAACATTGTCTTATGAGTTTTGAGAAAATATATCAAATACTTAAAAGTTGTATTTAACAAGATCTTAAGCAATAAAACAAGTTCAAAGGAAACCACAAAAACTAGTAATGTTTTCATATCCACAACAAAGTATTGTTCATGTAGAAATACAAAAATGTATAAATTTAAGTTATTACTAATGTCACCACAACTTGCCACTCACTTGGCATTCTTTTTATGTTTTGTTATTTCAATAAAAATTCAAATAATTAATATTTCCAATGTATGTATTAAATTATAAAGAAATGCTCATGGGGGCTATTATAATTTTTATAATAATAATAAATTAAATTTAAAATATGTAATTTAGTGTATCAACATGATATATGAGCATGTGTATGACATGTAAATGTTGATCTAAAACAATACTCAAAATGATTTTAAATAGTTGAAAAAAAAGGCCTTTGATGCAAGAATCACCAAATTTTGCAAGCTTATATATCAGTAGCTTCTTTCAAACAACTTAAGTTCTACATGGAGTGAAAACCATCAAACACTATATTCTAGTTTTAAAAATTAATATTAACTTTTGAAACATAACAATATTTATTTTTTAATCATTGATTTTATAATATTACTATTTTCACTAATCACTATCCCCAATTTATATATATATATGTAATAAAGGTAATATGGTCTGTAATGTACAACCATCTAAAGTGTCATCCATTTATCTAAACATCCATCCATGTCAAACAAGTATTAAAACAAAAATGATGTTGTAGTTGCAAGTGTGAATGCTATTCATTACCATTACTTGCCACAAATTGTTACCAACAAATGTAATAATTTACAATTCAAACTATACAACCAAAAACCACACATGAGTATTAGAAAAAAAGCAAAAATAAAAAATGTCACGTTATTATAATTCAAAAAAAACCTACAATAAAAATATTGAACAAAAATATCAACAATAGATTCTAGTGCAAAAAGTTGATAATGTTGTTTTTAAAACAGGAAATTGATGTGGTATGTCAATGATTTGGTTTCAAATATCACTCTTCAAACAAAACAAGAGGTTCCAATTTTGGTGTAAATGCTTGTTTATATATATATATATATATTTATATGTCTATTAATAATTATATATATATATATATGAACACATGCAAAAAACTAATCTAGGAACGACATGATGTTTGGAACCACCCATGCAAGGCCCGAATGAACAGACAAGGAATGTCACCCCCCAGAGTTTCTACCGTCTCGTCTTTGCTGATGTGGCACAAAACCGCCCAGTCCACCATTTCTATACGGAACGCGACAACTTGCCACCTCAGATCGCGCAGTTCCAATGGACTTGGAGAACACGGCCCCGACCCAAGTTCCATACGTGACGGTGATCTTCGCCTGAAAGAAATCAGCGAAAAAGCACAACATATTTTAACGTATAAGAAAGTTTCGTGGTGAGGAAAAGACCTCGCGACGCAGACGATTACGTTCTTTAAATGAAAAGCCAGATGGAACGTAAAGAAGCATGTCGGAAAGACAAGGTTGGAGAAAGACAAGGAGATATTAACAGATGGATGAGGAACGGAAGAACAGATCATGGGACGGTCAGAGATGAACCAGATGGGGAGGGGGAATCCAATCGCGCCACGTATGAATAGAGACCAGAAACGTGATGATGTGGACTTCTTTGACGTTGGACCAATCAGCGACTAGAAGAATTTCGAATCTCAGAATGCTTCTAGAAGGTTAAACTGGGAACGAGCTAGTTGGGAACGTGGTTACTTATGTGTTCTCTTTGGCGTGGTTGCGTTTTGATCCACCCAATGGTCACAGAGAATCTGGGACTTGATTCCAAGCGTGGCACGTGCCAATACCAGCCAATGTTTTAACGCGATATTTTAACGTCAAAAGCCGTAAGAAGTTCATGTTTCACTTTTTTTATATATGTAGAATGGTTTCTATATATATATATATATATATAATGGTTTTTTTGCATGTCCTATGTAATGGTTGTGGTTTATTTTCATAGTAGTGCATATTTTTTAAATGTAAGAATCATTTTTGTGTTAATTTATGAGAATTATCATGATAAATTTTAGAAAGTCAATAGAAATCATGTGAACAACTAATATATATACATATATATATATATATATATATATTTATGTTTGCATGATATGGGTTCTACCATTATTCAAAAATAAAATAAATTAAAATATTCTGACGCGTATTTAATATATTATAATGTTATAAACTTATATTTTTCAATAATTGACAATGGGTTATTTCTTTATTTTTTAAATTTTGTTTTATATGGTGTAATCACATAGGTTGAAACTTGTTGGTGTATTACAGAATGTGCAATTTTCTGTAGGAGTGTGTGTAATTGTAATAATTATCTAGCATTTTTCCTTTAAAAATAAAACAAAATGTGCATTGATAAGTGTAATTTTCTGTAGGAGTTTTTGTTAAATTATACTTATTAATGCACATTTTGTTTTATTTTTAAAGGAAAAATGCTAGATAATTATTACAATTACAGAACCCTAAACTTCTCTCTTGAGCATAAAATTGTTATATTATGCTTGAAGAATTTAATATTAAGTTTATTCTTCAAAAAAAAAAATCGAAATAACTGTATAATTACAATCAATTAGAGCAGCTGTTTTTTTAATAATGCTTCTGATGCATTATACAGAATCAAACTGCTATTCATCAAATCTGAAAGATTTATTTTTTTCACCCGAATTTCAAGCTTGAATAAATCAGTATTATCCCGAATTTGCAGACACTTTTGAATAAGATTGATTGATTATTCTGTATACACCATACTTGAAAAATACCATTTAAAGCCATGATGAACTTGGAATTGCCATCAACTGTGCCTTTGTTTCCGACAAACACACATCTATCAGTGAATATGTTTACTTTTTAAAAGAAAAAACCATAACCAAATAAAACGACCTTGTTTTATATTCATATATATATATATATATATATATAT